CTCCGTCATACCTAACGGTCACTTGGGAGAACAAAGCCACCACTGAATGCTCCCCCTGCCCCCCCTTTTCTTCCCTATCTTTTATTGCTGAACAGACACCGTACGGTATGGACTATCCCTTGGGTCAGTTGGGGTCATCTGTCCTGTATCCTCTCCCAACCTCTTGTGCACCCCCAGCCTGTTTGCTGGTTGAATAAGGAACATAAAAGGATCTGTGTAAGCACTGCTCAGCAGTAACTAAAACATGCCTGTGTTATCAATGCTGCTTTCAGCACAAATCTAAAACATTACCCCATAGTAGATACTGTGAAGAAAAATAAGTCTTCTCCAGCCAAAGACAGCATGACAACTCAAGGGCAGCTGTTTTAGTAGTGCCACCAGGTGTCTATACCTTGGTCCTCCTCTGTCTCTATCAGCAAAGGCACAAGGAAGGAGAAGCAACTTTCAGTCCTTGTCTTTCACGTTTTGCTGCAGGAGATGCAGGTTCAGTTCATTGTTTTCCCTCTTTTCTGTAAGATTCTTGACAAAGTATCTCCTCTCAAAAGGCTGCCTGTCAAACAGGAGGAAGGCAAAGGGTGATTGCTCTCTGTCCCTGTTCCTTCTTTCTCTGTGTTCTTCAGGATTACCAAAGTATTCTATGGTACATGCTTCCAGCAGAGTCTGAACATTTCACCTGAGGACCAGTGATAGAAGAGACGGAGAGTCCAGTGGCCAGGGCTCATCTCTCAAACAAGTGTGCTAATAGGCACCCTGACAGGCTTGTCCTTGTGTCTCTTCAAGACTTGTAGTTTTGGCTGCCTGGTGGCTTGTAGTGCATACATGTGGCTTGAGTACATTCCTGAAGCCTAAAAGCTCTGGGATTACAGCTTGTAGGGTGATGGGTAGGTTGGATTTATATCCCTTCCCCTACTGCTTCCTTCAGGAATGATTCTCACACAAACGGCATGCACACAAGGCTGAAATCCTTGCACTGAGGTGTGTTTGAAGGCACCTCGTGAAGGGTGGTCAGGCCAAGCCCAGATCCTGCTGGAGGGAGGCAGGCAGCCTTGAAGGAAGAATCTAACTTCTGGGGATGAGGGAGCTTTTGGGCCAGGCGGAGGCACAGGGGAGGCTCTGCACTTGCTCAGCAAGGTTTTGTGAGTCAGTTTTGGACTTCTGTAGTTGCAGGCTCTCTAAGTCTGGTTACAAGCACTTCAGTGTGAATCACAGATTTGTTTTCCTTCGAGAGGTATTCCACTTCCTTCTGCCTAAGGAGATAAGCTTGCAAGTGTAACAGCAAGCTCCTTGAAAGTTGTGAAGAGAGAAATTCAGATCAAGAGAGACACCCAAAAAATACGTGTTGGTTGCTTGAAAATATCAAGGCTGTTAAAACCAGCTGCCTACATCCTGCGGGCCTCACTCACACATGCCTGAAACATGGGTGAAACAGGAGAAAGGCACTGGGCCGAGCATTGGCAAAGGAGGAGCATGAAGGTAGTATCCAGTGATGACAATAGAAAAGAGGATTAAAAAGAAAGTTCTCAACATCTCCTTAAGACTAGTTCAGTCATGAGTAATTCCACTGGCTCCAGGGAACGCTGCTGTATGTCCACGTCGGTGAGGAGCCTTTCGCTGTGGCAATGGCTGAGCGGCATCCTCAGCAGCCAGAAAGGCTGATCAGGATGTAACCTGTTTGACTCAATGTCTGGAGGCCAAGAAGGACACAAACTTCCTTGTGTTGTGCTTGATGTTTTGGGCTTTACACAAACCACCTCTTCAGTAGAAGTAAACACTCAGAAGTAGATGCGAACTTTCCAGATTCTCTTCTGCTTGTGGTTACCTCCCTGCTGTGGCGTGATGGGGAAGGAACAGGGAGGTTGCAGGGATACATGATTGATGGCTATTTTCTGTAAGTGTTCCTCTGTTGTGAAACGTTTCTGTCGCCCAGTTATTTCTGATTTCTCCATGCAGAGAGCTCAGCTCACCACAGTTACTTTGGGACTGCTCATACAGTACACTCACTGTCTGGGAGCAGCTGATAATGTACTTATGCTAGGTTAAGATTTTCCAGAAAAGAGATAACATTTGCAGATGGTTTGGGCTGACTCCTTTGGCTACATCTTTTTTTTATTGGTAGTTGAAAGCAGTACATATGACCAAGCTATGGAAAGCTTTAGAAAGTGTCCTCCCTTACCCTGTTTTTTCAACTGTTCCTGCATTGATAGTTTCTCTCTTTATCTCTTGGGTGACTATAGTAGACATCAATCCTTCTCTTCAGCCTTCCTTGTACCTTTTCTGCACTAAGGAGCTCTGCGCCCTTTATCACCCTCTTCTCAGCATACCCCAAAGAGATCAAGACAGCTCTTCCAGACACAGGTTTTCAGTCTTTTTTTCCTCCCACACAGCTCTCTTTTCCAGTGGATTTACTTTGCCAGGTAATGGTTTCCAACGAATCCATTCTAAATTTCCAATATTTAACATCAGATTTTCTAGTCTTGGAAACACTAGGTCATTGCCAACCCAAAGTTTAGGGGTTGATTGCACAAGCAGACTAGCTAGCCATTCTGAAGGGACAATAACTCCTATGAGCCAAGTAGTGGTGAGCAGTTGCCAGGTGATGAGGAACAACAGGATGATCCTTCCACTTGCACTGTTATAACCAGAAGAGACCCAGAGTGGAGAAGAATCACCTACTTATGGACAATCTGCATGGCACATGTCTGCATCTGAGATGCTTAGCCTGGACTTCCTTTCTGTTCAAGGGTCCACTGTAGCCATGGATTAAGAGTATGATTTATCTTACCCTAAAGCTTTTGTCTGAACAGGACAGAACATTTGTGTTACAAAAGGTTCCTTTTTTTTTCCTTTTTTTTTAATTGGCTATAAAAGGAGGCTAACTAAACTACACTTTTTGACTGAACTGAACCCATCCAAACATGATAGCATCCTTTACATTAAGGGTGTAGTTCTACCTGAGACATAATCACTATCGTTTGCCCAGTGTCCTAGTTAGTGCGCTAATAGCAGTGAACTTTATTAGCAATGCGACTGCAAGGAAATTGCAGCCCTTTTCTTTTAAGGCTGGTTTTAGTACTCAAAACCATAAACTTTCACTCTACAGTATATTGGCCAGATAACGTAATTCCACAGCAGCCCATCCCAACCCAATCTTTTCTTCCACTCCAAATGATCAACTGTTGACCTTTACAAAGTGATAATAAAAGACCACACAAAGACAATTGCTCATAATTGTCAGGGAGGAGCTTTGCCAGCACTGGGAAGGTCTTCATGGTATGTTCTTGTATAGCAACTAAATCAGCAAAGTGCTGTGGAAGATGTTTGACCGCCCCAACATGTGGTAAGAATTTAAAGGAAATGTCAAGTGTTGGTTTTGGAAAGTTATGGATTTATGAAGACTGAAGTTTTGGGTGGTCGTGTCCCCGCCCCAGCAGCTGAGCATTATCCTGACTGCCCAGGAAAAAAAGGAAGGATTTCAAACTCTAATAAATACTGGATGATAGCAGGGCAGCCATGCTGAAAATGTGCAGGGTAAATATTGAGTTGTGCTTTTCTGCAGTGTTGATTTTGAATGAACTGGGCACTTAAATGGTGAAATTGCACCTATTTAAATAAAGCAGTGGATAAAATGGATGTTTAAAGTAAAGTTACTTTTATTCAGCTAACAGTGGGGATATTTTATAGTCATGTGCCGCTTTTCAACACAGCTCCTTCAAGATAAGCACAAATAAAATCTCTCTCACACACGCACATCTGTGATAGAGGAAATAATTTTTACCTGTAATTTATAGTTTGAGATAGAGAAGTTAAGCTGTATATATGGATTTTTTTTTCCCCAAAATCCTGTGATTGTATCTGTTTTTTTGAATGCTTGTTATAGAAGATGGCTGAATATCTCTCAGCTGTGCTGTCTTTTCTATGTGTGCCCTGAAATGGTATTGGTAGATGTTTGCAAAATGTTAACTGGAGAAAATGCAATGAGGCTTTCTCAGTTACAGACTCCAGCACTGTTTGCAAACATTTTTGCCATTTATTGTGTGTAGATGCCGTTTCTACTTCGGTCTTAAGTTTCTCACCAGTCAAATCTAGTTAAGCAGTTTCTGGCTTTTCCTCTCATTCCTTTGTAGATGTATTAAGTGGACCATAAAAGACAAAAAGAGGCTGTGCATGCTGCTGGAGGCTTGCCTGATTTCAGCACAGTTTGAGGGCACCTGCATGCTCTCAGGAGCAATGTTGGCATCTCTCCATTACTTACACTTGTTTAATATGTAGTCTCTTGAATGCACTGCTCTTTCTGGATTGCCTTATGGTGCAACTTCACGGCCCGTTTCCACTAGCTGAGGGGCAGAGATAGAAATAGGGAAGGGTAGACTTGAAAGGAGTGTTTTGCTTTCTTGCAACAAAGAGGATCAAGTCTACCCTCGACAGGGTTGAGGGTGGAGTATGGGTGACACCAAACTTCTCTGAAGCATTGGTCATTGCCTCCCTAATTCGCTCTTGTGTGGCTAAGAAGAATACATGGGATTTTAAATTTTTCCTTCTCACTTTTTTGCAAACTAAGGAATGACTGTTTTGATCCTTGCCCTCCTCTTAGGGAAGTCACTTCTTGTTTTCCATATTCACGGGAAGGCACATCTCCACTCTTCCCACCCTCAGATAGGGGCAGAGATCAAGTCAAGGATGCTCCAAGGACTGGAATCAAACTCTTGGCAGTGATTCGTATCTCATAAGCATGCTAACACGGTATGGCATCTAGTGCATATTCTGCATCTTTGTTAAATAACGAATATAGGGGAAGTTTTTTCTTTGAAAAATCTCTTGCTTTTTCTGCTCCTTTTGATTTGAGCTTCATTTAGTGACAAAGTTTGGGGGAGGGGGAAGAGGAAAGGGAATCCTCCAGAGGTTGCAGGAAAAGGAGAAAGAGTAATTTCTTAATATCCCTCATCAAGTACAGATAAGCCTGACTGAACCCCTGCTGACAGCAGACTGCTTTCTTTCCACAGTCTCCATTGAAGATATTCGGGATGTGAGGGCAGGCCATAAAACAGAAGGTATGGAAAAATATGCCAAGGATGTCCCAGAGTATCGCTGCTTTTCCATCATTTTCAAAGACCAGCGGAAAAACCTAGACCTCATTGCGAGTTCAGAGGACGATGCCAACCATTGGATCTCCGGCCTTGCGAAAATCATAGCCCACAGCAACTCCATGAACCAGAAAGAGAAACTCCAACAGTATCCTTTGCGTTATAAAGTGATTAATCACAGACAAAGATGCACTTGTCTTTCTCTGTGGGTGGAGATAGTAGACTAACGCCCTTTTTTCCTATTGGCCCTGGGCACTGAGTTTTGTCTCACACTGATTTTGCACCCAGGCAAACTCTCTGGTTTTCAATGCTTCTTTCCCCTGCTTTGTAGTGATACCAGCAAGAGTGAATTGAGGCTTAATGTATCCTTTAAACAAAGAATTGCCTCTTTCAGGGAGCTCCAGATAAAACAATCATTATTTTTTTGTATTTCTCGGCGTCGGTTTCATTTGCATTGCAGTAAACTCCAGGACAGGCACTTCTTGGCAAGGCATGAAAAGCCCATGCTGTCTATCATGTTTCTCAGTAATACAAGGCGAGGGAATGGATTCTTCTCTTCTAACTGCCAAATTTACTCTGGGGTAGCTCCACTGACTTTACTCCTTGTTTGCCTCAGCATGGGATGAAGTTTTGCCCTGAAAGAATCTGTGAATGCTGTAGTGACAGTGCAGGCATCAGAAAGGAAAATTAGCAGAGCAGGAAAGGAGGATGAATTACTTGTGAAACAGAGCATGAGCTGATTATCGGGTGAAATCCTGCCTCTGCTGATTTCACAGGGAATTTCCCCTGGGGCTGTATTTCACTCACTAAGTTGCTTTGCAACCACAGGTCTCATACCCATAAAAAGAGAGAATATCTGTGGGTTCAGTTTTTTGATGGATTTTCTCCAGTGGTTGTGTGTCTGAGACACTAACCATGACATATGAACCTGCTGGCTGATTTTACCCTCATTTGACAGACTTACAGCAATCATAAAATCCTTTAAGCTTCATGAAGATAGGCATCCAGCTATCACAATGAAAACCAGATAACGCCCTCAGACAGAGAAAGCAGTGTGAGTTTCATGCCTTGTTCATCTCCACATCTGTGGAGAGAAGGAGAGAAGCAAAATACTCAGCTGGGGAAAGTTCTGATGTGCTGTCTTTATCTCCTGCACTGTGAGTGTCTTTTTGGATGGTTTTTCAAGCTCTAGGCTGTAAGGTCGTTCCTCAGCAGTGTTACCATTTGTGTGTCCATGGTGATAGGGAGCAGTTCCTAGACAAGTTGAAAATGTGGTACCCTGGCAGTTCTCCTTTTAGATGCGAAGGCTTACTCCACCCCTAAATGGAGTGGTGGGGGAAAATGTGGGCTACAGAAATTTGTCCCTGGAGTGTGTCAGATTGAATATATTGCTGAAAAACTTCCCCATAAGAAAAGACAAGATTGCTAAAGGGGGAAAAATAACAATGACATTTGCAAGGGAAGAAGGCTGTAAATTTCCAGCATGGAAAAGTGCCTCTCTGTCTTTGGAAAGCAGAATTGAAGCTAAATAGGGTGGGTAGGCAAGCCGTATTTCTGGAAGAGTAATTACTGTGCAGTGCTGGCTTCCAATCTGGGATTGTCTCAGGCCATTTAACGTAACCTGGAATTACAGAACAGCATGATTTCTCATTTGAAATTTGATGAAGTTTAATTAAAGCCTGGGATTTTAAATTTAGTCTGTCTTCACTGGGTTTGCTTGGCAGCGTGGGCTTACTCAGAAGTGTTCTCTGCATCTGTGAGCACAGAAGGGGATGAGGCAGCAGATGAGGCGAAGTGTTGGGTCCCCTGCCTGTCCCCCATGACTGGAGAACTGCCTTGCAGCATATCTTTTCCAGCCTTCCAAACCTTGCAAAGCAAGTAAGGAATGTGCAAGATTTTCAAAACAAGTATGAAAACAAAAATCTTGCTAGTTTCAGATGGGTTTTGTCTTGTTTATAATATGATGGAGTTGCCTGTGGTAGCAAGGGACTTGATTTAGTGTTTTATGTGTCCTTTCCAGCCCCACATGCTCGGTGAGTACTTCTGATGTTTTTAAACATACAATACTGTTTTATTAAGCCTCAGATTCAACCCTGCAACAAGCTGGCAGAGGTTATTTAGCAAATATTCCAGGTACGTGTGCAGGAGAGACGTTAGACCAGAAAACACAGGGGACTTTTCATTTTAGCAGTGTGGCACTATCTATCTGCTTCGATTCTGGGATTTATGTATGAGCTTTTCTTCTGGTTGGAAAACACTTACCAGAAGTTTTGCAGCATTTCTTTTCTGAGCACATTCATGGGATATCTGCCAGATAGTTTCAGTCATCCCTCTTTGGTTTCTAATAGAAAGCTGGTAGCCCTGGAGCTGGCAGATCCTTTAAAAACAAAAGGCAGGAAGCAGGTTCTCTCCGGATGCATACAGGCATGGGAACAGCTTTTTCCCAGTCCACCCAGGCCGAAATGGGTGCGTACGGTGAAAGGAGGACCCACAAGCATGGCTGCAAAATGGTGTTTGTGTCAGCTGATAATTTCAACTGAAGTGCTTAATTCATCCAGCTCCTCTAAGCTCTCTCAAACCTGAGGGATCTAGGTGTATGGGGAGTTTGGGGGTTTTGGGGACTGAACTCTACTGTTTGCTGCAACAACTGGCTGAGGCCTCAGTTCTCTGTAGTCTGCTTTTTCTCTCTTTGCTGCTTGCCCTTGCAGCGACATCGTCTGTCTATGATTTTTGTGGGCTCTGTGATTTCCCTCCTACTGGAAGGGATAGAACAGGAAAGCAGCCTCCATTCGCAGGCAGGACCCTGGCATACACTTTTGCAGATGCATTTACTGCCCACATACTGCTTTCCAGGGTTGACTTCGGATATGTGCATGACCTCTGGGTGCTCGTCATCAGTGGAAATGACTGCAGACTTTTAAAATGGTGGGGTTTTTTGCAATGATTACAGCAAAAAGAGTAGTTTCTACAGACGGTTAGTGCTATCCAACCCTGCTGCTCACCTCTGCCCATGACAGACTGGATTTCCTCTTGGCTTGCTAGAGTTGCACATTACTCCTGCCTGTTATTTTTAGGGAGGGCTGAGAAGGGAAGCTGAGGTGTGAGGGTCAGGTATGAATGGATGGCACCACTGTTGGCACCATGTTGACATGCTGAGCAGACCCTCTTTGGAGCACAGCTGGTGGAGGGGGATGGTTTTCCACCTCGGCATGGATGGCATTGTGTTCCCAGCAGAGCATCCCCTGTGCATGGGAGCTTCATGACTTGAACTTGGTTTTCTGGGAACAATCAGACCCTGGTTCAGGGCCCTGGAGAGAGCTGGGGAAATGTAGCCTCCCTTTTTTTGGTTTTAGTGTCTAAAGAAGGGGAATATTAATATTACCAGGCTTAGACGGATGCGGTGTGAGGTCATTGCTTAGCACCTGCCAAGATTTTTAAAGACAGAAAGCTCAACTTTCCGTGAGACAAACAATGCTTACAAACAGTTTACACATATCTCCATAGTTCAGAAATATTTGAATGCAGTGGTAGCTGTGATGAATACTTTGTTTCAGGGTTATGTCTACAGCCCCTAAGGCTGTCAGTTAATACCCTTTTTGGGGGTTATTTTGAAAGGCCCAGTTAAAATGTTATGGTACTAAATGCCTAAGCTGGTATTTGCTAATCCTGAGGTTTACTCTGCTTAGTATCCAGGTTGGGCATTTTTCAAGATTTTTTAGAATGAATTTGAGGCAATTTTTCCTGTGCAAGACAGAGAAGGTTACATTCGTGGAGATCAAATTGTTACTTTAGTCATTTTTCTATTGAAAAATAGGGTATTTTTCTGGATGACCTTTCTTATTTGACAGTGAAGCAAATTAGAGAGAGTCAGTTCCATGATGCAGAAAGAATGGGTATTTTGTTATTTAAAACTGCATATCTCAACTGTAACACTATTTTCCTGAGAGACTGAACAAACATGGGAGACCCAGTTCGGATTATCTGACATCACATTAAATAGCTCATTTTTGTAGTAATTACTCCAGATCCATAGATATACTAAAGTTATTATAAACTAAGCTCATATGAACTATTATCACAGTACGATACAGTATTAGACCCCATGCATTTCATGAAGGGGAGCCAAGACCAACAAAGTTTGGTTTGATTCTGCTCACAACAAAGTTCTTAAGACATATAGGTAGAAATCCCTGAAAAAATTCAGAAGCTGTAGGTGAGTCCGGAAATTTCTATTAATGCTTCTTTTTAGAGAATCTCTGTTTGTTGTTCACTTTGAGATACTGAATATTGATTAAATCTGTAACAGTGAGTTTACCAAACTCCACTCGTGAGGTCTTTTCATCCTTCCTCTATCCCCTTTTAACAATCTGGAGCAGAATGTACTTTCTGTCATAAAAGAGAAATCAGACTGTTTCTGGTTGTGGCCAGAAACTCCTACAGAGTAAAGAGAGCTGATCCAGCCTTTGGCTAGATGGTGAAAAGCTTCTCCCGGGTCACAATTGTTTGTATTACAGTGCATTTTGCTTCTGCCAAAGCACCATTTTGCTCTTTCAGACAAAAAGGTGAGATGATGTAAGCTGTTCAGTGGTAGCATGCTGATTTGCAGCAGCTGGAGAGGTGGTTCAGAGTCTTTAGAAGAGGATTCCCCACCCCCACCCTGAGGGCAGCAGAAGGATGGTAAATACCATCCTAAATAGGCTAGGCACTGACCTGGAAAGATTTCCTTACATCATCCTGCAGCTGGATTCATACCTGCCTGCGGAAAGCTGATAAAAACAAAGACAACAAGATGAGCTTGAAAGAGCTCAAGAACTTCCTGAAAGAAGTGAACATTGAAGTTGATGACTATCATGCCAAGAAGATTTTCCAGGTAATGAGAGCAAGCAGATAAAGTATTTACTTTGGCTGAGGTCAAGGTCTCCCATAGCTTTCAGCTTTGGTTGGAGACCTAAGCTAAAGTGAGCTCCTAGCATCTTTTCTTGCACCAAAGAAGGACTCTCGGTTTCTGGTGCTCAGCAGATTCCCACTAAGATGTAAGTTAGGCCAGCACAATGCTTTTGAAGAAGGTGTGTTAAGGTCTTTCTTTACTATTGATGCTGAGGATTTAGAGATGAGATGCAAACATAGATAATGTGAGACAAAGGGAAAAGCAAAGTTCTAGTGCACTTTGAGTCCTGGGTGTTTCAGTAGTTCTGCATACCACAAACAACATGTCAGTGTCGAAGTCTGGCTAAAATTGGTTTAGTTACAGTTACAAATCTAGATCCTCACCTTCTCAGAGGAAGAGGGTGCCAAGTAACAATATAAGCAAAAAGAAGGTGCAAATTAAAAAAATAAAACCAAACAAAACCCAAACCCAGATTAATGATAGATAAGTAACATTGCTTCCAAGCCTGGGCCAGTCTTTTTCATTTACTACCACAAGATATATTTAATCTGGTCAGGTACATACAATTCTAAATTCTCAAGATTTGGCTTGCTGGCTGAGCCTATCAGAATATAAGAAAGGGATGAATATTTCTCAGCTGTTAAGCTTTTGGTTTTTCTCTGAAGAAGCCTTCCTGCTGAGGCGAGATAAAACATCTGGATAATTTCCAAACTTCCATCCTGTCTGAAGCAGGATTTGAATTCATGGGTATGCAGTTTCAGAAATGCTTTTTCTGATCAGTATTAAACATGTAGGTGGGTTTGGGCACCGGGCAGTAGTTCTCCTGCTTCTTACCGTAAGCAGATAGAAGGAAAGGTTGGCAAGATTTCGCTAGGACCTTCCCGTAAGGAGGTACAAGTTTCCTAATCATTGCTCTATGAAGGTCTCTCTCTCTGTGGTAACTTCAAGAATTGGGGAAGGTCATCAGCAGATCTTGAAGAATTTCACCTTGCAAAATCTTCCAGATGTGCTGCCTGCTCTGGCTGGCATATCCCATGCTTGATTCCCTGCTCAGGAAGACCCTGGAAGAACAGCAATAAGGCTAGGATTCCTCTGATTAAATTAGATGTCTGCAGTGCAGACTTCTGCATTGGAAGTGGTCACTAACACTTACACATCCTTTGCAACCTGTGTAGGTCACCCAGTAATGGAGACCAGGTGTGATTTACCTCATCCTAAAGGATAAATCTCACATACGTCAGATGAATCACTCCCTACATGTTCAAACATAGAAAATCTGAAAAGATTTTTTTTTTTTTTAGAGGTGCAGCCTCCTCTTCATTCAGGGAACTTCGCTATTGCAATAGTTACAAGGGAGCTGTAGGAGTGGAAACTTGATGAAGTTCAATCCTCTTTTTGCTTAAGGGCTCTAAGGAATTACTACACCTTGATTCAAGCCACCTAAATGCAGGCAGCCAGTTGAAGTACCCTCATTAGACATGTAATTGTTACAAGTTTCCTGTATAGCCACTGGAAAGAAGGTCTTCAGAGGTTTATTCAGATCTCTTGTGGGCTAAATTGCCTCTAGGAAAAGTCTGTCTTGCTCCTAAAGCAATTTCATTTTCAGTTTACATACTGCCTCAACGTAGATGGACTGAGACAATCCAGCATATTAAAAGGGTGATCTTGTCTGTCTCAGTGAGTTTTATTTCATTTAGTCACAGGAAGGAAGGCTGATCAACGGTCCAAGAGAGAGCTGCAGGACATGTTCTCACATTATTCTTGCTTTTCATCACATAACTCTCTGTCCACATCTAGCTTTTAGGCACACCTAAGACATATGCAATGCAACCAGAAACGGCAAAACTTCTCTGACACTGCACTTCATTTCAACCTGAATGTTTGTTCCGGTGCATCAGAAAGGTTCTGACTTTTTCTGGCAGGGCAAGGTTCATTCAGGAATCATGGTCGCAATCCATGCAAGTGACAGAAACCACAGTATTCTGGGTTGAGATTCGTCTTCTAATTTGGAGCTCTTGTAGCCCAAGCAGGGACCTCACTTTTATACTGGGCATCTGATCTGTCCTGGAATATGACTGATGCCAGTGTATTGTCCTATATCCATCACAGCCTTTAATGGCCACTGATGAACAAAATTCCCGGGGCACATCCCTTATAATGCCAATTTTGTAGAAGTAATATCATGTCATTTTCCCTGTTGTGTCATAACGAAAGGAATGTCTGTCATTCATGGCAACATTGCAGTCTCCACCAGTTGGTGAGATCTGCTAAAGCCACAGAACAGGATTATAGACATAGAAGGCAGCAAAGAAAAGACAATTCCTGGACTGCTGAAACCTAATTTGAAGGTGTCTGTAGTACTGAGCATTTCACAGACTCTCCCACCCCTGAGATGAGCCCATAGCTTCTACCCAGCAGATTCTGAAGTCAGAGCAAGTTGAACTTTTTGCTGTCAGTTCAGTTTGCGAAACACTGTGCATCATGATCATTTTGTTTGGTTTTATACATGCAGCATAAACAGATAGTGAAGGACTACAGTGGAGGATTTGCAGAGGACGAAATTCCCTCACTACCATCTTGCCTGGGGCACTGCCAAAGCCACTATGTCCATTACTGAGATCCTTAGCAGAGTTAGCTTGGGATTAGTATGATGGCTCATTAAAACCTATTGGTCATAAAACCTAGGACAATAGCTGTACATGTCATAAGAGATCAAAGATGGAAAGCAATTTAATTCCTCCGGTCTGGCAAATTACCATCTGTCAGCTAAGTCATAGTAACTGATAGCAACTTGTCCATAGCAAAGGTGAAATGAAATGCACCAATACCTCCTCTGAGTGGATTGGAACACACTTTCCACTCCTAGTTCAGGCTTGAAGAAGAGAAGTTTTTAGGCCAAAGTAAGGCAAGCCATGTCCTGCCGGGATTTTGGTGTCCATGCCAAAAATTACATTTTTCTGACTTACCAAAATGTAAGATGTGAGTGAACTGTATTAGATTAGGACACTACTGTTGAGGGTCTGATTGCTTGCTTTAGATACTGAGAGAGGGTGGGAATCCTCATAATAACAAGGCATTAACTAGAAGTGGGTTGATTGCTGAAATTTGCAGGGAAAAACACTTGGAAGCAGTATAATGCTCCCTGACATAAGTGGGGATCTCCCTCTGAGATAGGCCCTTGCTTTCTGTTGCAGCTTGCTTTTCTCAGCCAATATTTAATGCAGGGGTATACATCCCTGAGATGACTCAAAAATAGTTCTTCACCGCTCCATGAAGAATTCTGCTAGGAACAAACAACAAAATTAATATCAGGATTTGCCACAGAAATCTGTAATTTCTGATGAAAAATTGAACCCGGGAATATTTGAAATAAACTGGAAATATTTGTTGTTGGAAAAGCTGCTGTCCTTTGTGGAGATGCTAATTTGCATATCTGAAACTTACAGCCTTTCCTGGTCAGTCAAGTCCTTGACTGTGGTGCTCTGTCAGAGCTCTTACCTGGTGGAGAAGTTCAAACCACAGAGGAAGAATTTGAATTTCAGCTCCTTGAGAAGATGATATCTGATTTGGAATTTTGTGGAGATTTTGTTACTTAGTGGGTTTTGGATGAGAATGGAAGATTTCTGTGGAAAGAGGAATTTTTTCATACCTGAATGTGCACATGTTTAGCAGTATTTTTAAGTTGGTTTGGATGTTATCTTTGCAACCACCCCTACCACTAGCCTTGACAGTCTCTCTAGGCCTGAACTCAGACCCACCAAGGTCAAGGGGAAGGGCCATTTTGCTTTACTTACTGGACTTTAGGCCACGATCCCTATCAGTAGTGTAAGATACATTGAGTTAGTTGTTTCCCTATATTCGTCCACCTCATGAGATCAAGTCACGTTTCTCTTGAGTTTTGATTTGTACATAGATTGTCTTGAGCTGTCCTAACTTAATAGTTTGCACTGTGTATGGTGCAGTAGAGCTTGAGGTCATGGGCCATGCCTGGTGCTTTTCAGCACACTGATAATATGAGTAATAATAATAATTGTAACTGTTATGTGACTGTTGGCCTTGTCAATGAGATCCATTGTCAATGACCAACTGCTTCTCATTCACTGGCCAATAACTATTTCCAATTATTTTGTGTTCTGCGTTGTGTAGCCCTGGTGCAGATTACGGCTGGCATATGCCAGAAGGAAAGAAGGTTTTCACTCCTTCTCCCCTCTACGTTTACAGCACTGTGACAAGTCCAAAACAGAGGCTCTGGAGGATGATGAGATAGAGGAATTTTACAAGATACTGACAGAGAGGAAAGAAATAGACAAGATATTCCAAAAGTACTCAGATGCAGAAGGGTTCATGTCCTGCCAGAACCTGGTGAGGTTCCTCTATGAGACACAGCAAGAAGAAGATGCTGTTGTTGCTGCCCCTGCCTTAATTCAGAGATACGAGCCCAATGAAAGAGGTAGGTTGGAAACCCAGGCTGGTTTGGTTCAAAATCTTGCTTTTGTGATGAACTATGAATTGCTTTGCTCCTGCTTTTATCTGCAGCTGTGTGTATCATTTTCTCTACACAGCTGCTTCTAAAACATCAGTCTTCTAGGGGAATATTAGCAACTCTAGGAGAGGAGAGGGCACAGAAGAGGAAATATTTCTCTTCAATTTTGACTTGGGTACACTGAGCAGCTGGAGAGGGATTGATACAGAGTTGGCTAGGGGGTGATGAAATTCCTAAGGGAAAGGCTCTGATAGCTTATTCAAATGCCAAGACCCCATGTGGCTTTGCAAGGTTAAGAATACAGCAGTATTTCTGTTCTCAAGAAGTAGGAATGGAGGCAGATGTTTTTGAACGTGGGCACCTGAAATGCCGTATCTTAGTATATCTGATATCAGAGTAGAGGGCTAAGAAGGTGACAGCTGTTTAGGAGAGCAATAACAGAACTGTATTTTGATCAGAGATTAAGTGAGTTGCCAGTCTGGAGTACCTGGGAGGACATGTTCAAGAAATTAACATAGGATCATAGGCTGTTTTTGCACTATCCTGGTATACCTTCAGGAGAGGCACAGTGCTTTGCAGATGTAAAATTTGGGGATTAGACTGAGATCTAGCTGAGTCCTTCAAGATGGGAAGACCTCAATTTCTCCCCAAAGTTGGGTAATTTTGCATTTACTCTTTGCAAATCATGTATTCATCAGATAATCTAAACAGCATTTATCTGGCTACGTTTAGACATCTGACAACTTCTCTGTATCAGCATGAAGGAAGCTTGAAGTGCTCAAATGGAGATTTTTATACTGTAGGTCTCTAGAGAGGTGAGGTAAGGGCTGTCTTTGACACTTTTAAGGTGTTATCAAGGACCGTAAATGTCATAAAAAGCCATGCTTGTGAAGGAGTTTTAAAAGCATGTTCAGGCAGGTGAAGCTGTCATCATTGTCTGAACAGCGTTAATATCTTTACTATCAGCTGGATGCCTACAGAGCACATTTTGCCTTTGAGATCCTCTGGAGAGCAGCAGGCATCATGGTGAGGATGGCAGCACAACTGGGTGGTATCAGCTTTTCAGTAGGGGTTTCTGTCTATTTATCTGGCAGCCAAGAGGGGTAACGCCATGACCAAAGATGGTTTTCTGATGTACCTGCTGTCCGATGATGGGAATATATTCAACTCCACCCACCGTAAAGTTTACCAGGACATGACTCAGCCTCTCAGTCACTACTTAGTGTCATCCTCACACAATACCTATCTTATGGAAGACCAGCTCACAGGTCCAAGCAGCACAGAAGCCTATATCAGGTAAAGTATGTGTATTTATGTATGTGTATTTATGTGTGTGTGCGTATTTGACCCCTTTCTCATAGAAGACGTAGGGTGTATCTATATTGCTAGATGCAAGAGGACTGAGAAGCAATCACCCACCCTGAGACCAGGTAATGTGGGCTGGCCCATGCTCACATCAGGGTAAGCTGTTTCTAAGCCAGGCTGGCTATGCCCCCCTTTTCTAAGCACTTTGACCTGGGTCACTGCTGGGCCCCATGTGGTGTCCACCTGACTGTAAGATGTATAATTAGTACATTTAGGTGTAGTTTAAAATACCCGTAATCATGTGGAAACCACCTTGCATTGCTTCTGCTATGTCCTGTATTTTTATCAAGTGAGAGAGTGTTTCCTTATAAGCAAGCCAATGACTGCAGTTCTGACTATTGCTTATCTGAGCCTCAGGGAGCAATGGCTGTCTAGGATCACAGGCTCAAAAGAGTAGAGAGTGAAATATGTCACAAGTTGCTTTTCAGTATCTGTTTGAATTCCTCTTACAGTATCTTAAAAATACAGAATTATGTTTTGCTTGGAAAAAAAACCCAAAAAACTATGATTCTGCACATGAAACTGTGGCTGCCCCATCCCTGGCAGTGTTCAAGGCCAGGATGGACGGGGCTTTGAGCAACCTGGCCTAGTGGAAGGTGTCCCTGCCCATGGCAGGGGGTTGGAACTGGATGAGCTTTGAGGTCCATTGCAGCCCAAACTGTTCTATGATTCTTACTGCAGTAAGTTAAAGGGAATTATGTTATCTGAAACGTATAGGGAGTTACTGTAAAAAAGACAGGATCACCTCTTACACAGGGAAGTCTGTACAAGGGGAACTACATTTGAAAGTAAATTTAAATGAAAGTATGGATATGTAGAGGCAGGAGTTTCAAGTGGAAATTCAGTATGTGGACTCAGTTTGGGAAACTGACCCTCAGCAGTGTCCCCAGCTGTGGTGGAGTTCACGCAGCTCCCTCCCTGACAGCTCTGAGGATTCATCTCTCATGTCTTACCAGATCTAGATGAAGAAGTCACATTATCCAGGCTTTGTGACCTGACTTCTAAGGCTGACTGTCTTACTGTCTTTCTTCCAATGCAGCTACTCTTGATATTCCTCTTCTCTTCACCATCTTTGGGAAAAGAGTTGGGGCACAGTCATGAGTGTCCTTTCTCATCTGGCACTCACTGTCGTCTTCTTTGGATAATTTTTATCTTGGACTTACATAACCTCCTTTTTCAGATCCCACTGTACTTTCCTTGCTCAAACTTGAGCTGTCTTTGCTGACTTTGAGCTCTTCTGATCCCATCCTTTTGCCATCTGTTTTCCTGTTTTTCCTCTTTTCTCCCTTGCTCCCTAAACTTTCTGTCAGCCTTCCCAGGCTACACCTGTGCCTGCTGCACCCTCATTTTGAGATGGAGCAAAAGGTTTAGAACCCAACCAGGTCCCTTCTTTGTTTCCAGAGCCCTCACCAAAGGCTGCCGCTGTGTGGAATTGGATTGCTGGGATGGCCCTAATTCAGAGCCTGTCATTTATCATGGCTACACTCTCACCTCCAAGATCCTCTTCAGCGATGTCATTAAGGCCATCAAGAACTATGCTTTCAAAGTAAGGATGAGGCACCATCTAAGATTTCTCATATTGCACAGTCCAACACTGATAGTAGGTCTCTGCCCTTCCAACAGAGCATATAAACAATGAAGACTTCACCTTAGCTTTTCTCAGGGGTACGAGATGTGTCCTTGTGTCTGGGCATCCATCTTCTGTTTTCTGCAGAGATCCATTCTGGGGAGCTGCAGCACACTATCCAAGGATGAGTTTGAATCTATAGCAGCACAGCTGCATCCAGGACCCCAGTACAATGAAAATAAGGCCCAATATCTCGAGCATCCCTGGTGGGAAATGCAAACAAGCCCATGACTTACATGGTTTTGACATCTCAGGGTCTGCTCTTAATTGAGAGGAACCCATGTGCATTTGTTTTGGAGGGACTCTTGAGAAAGACTGCTTCTATTCTGATTTTAAAGGAATGAGCAGGTCTGGAATCTTGTATGGCAGTTCCGGGCTAGCAGCCTTTAAAAAGCCTTGGTTCTGTCCAGACTCCCTGGGCTTTCTGCTATTTCTCTTGAGTGCACTTAGACCTAGTGTCAGTTTTCCTTTAGCAGTGACAATGACAATGCCTTCAGCACACAAGATGACCAGGAGCAGCCATGGGGAACCAGATCAGGCCTATTACAAATGGAAGGAGGATTCATGTCACCTAAGGATTTGAGAAAACACAGTGATTTTGAACCCTTCCTTCCAGTACTTCCTCTGAGGTAGGAAGGTGCTTAGACCCACAGTTCAACTGGAGAATGGAGGCACAGGGAGGCTCATTAAAGTGCCTCAGCAAGTCTGTGGGAAGCATCCTGACGCACCTGGTGCCCTGTCCATTGGATCATCATCTCAGAAAGGCATCATCAGTAGCTACTTCACGGTTAAATTTGTCTAGTTTTATAAACACTCATTTTAGTAGAATGCTGTTGACCCACTCATTTGCAGAGAAAACAGCACTGGGGTTTATATCAATTGCTATAGACTGGTGAAATTGCAGAGTTCACTGATGATGTATGTTTCTGTCTTGTTCTAGACCTCACCATACCCTGTCATCATCTCCCTGGAGAACCACTGCAGTGTCGACCAGCAGAAGGTCATGGCTCAGCACATGACGACAATTCTGCAGGACATGCTCTTGGTTGCCCCCATCGATGGAAACAAATCCCAGTTCCCCTCCCCAGAGGTAAGCAAGGCTACTGTAGCACTTTCTGCCTTCTGAGGGTGGAACAAGAGAGAGGTCTGTCTTCTTGCTAGGTGCCAATTAGTGGGCAATATGCCTGAGGACTTGTGGGAACTGCACTTGCTGAGGATCGGAGATTGTCTGTGGGCAGAGGTGGAGTAAGAAATAGGCATATCTAGAAGTAGCCTGTGCACATCAACCACAAAATGTCTGGTTGCTCCTTGTTTATTAAGATCTCAGAGGAGATATTCCTGCAGCAGTGAGGATTTTTACCTGATTCCTTTACCAAGAACATCCTTTGTCCCATGAAGAGGTTGCTTTTCTGGCATTTCCCAGGGGAGCTGAATCCTGAGAGTCTGCCTTGTGTCTTCTCCCCACACCCCAAAGCTGAATATGACCTTCTTCAGGCTAGTCCTCTGAAGCACTGTTAGGTTGCTGCAGTGAACATTAGCACCATAAGGAGTGACTACAAGGTGTCTCTGTGTTTCCAATACAGCAAGACTAGACACTACCTGTACAGGTAGTCTAAATCTGTATAGCATGAAGTGTCCTCCCGCTGAGAATGGCCTGATGGGGTGGTGGGGATGAAGATGTCCACGGAGAACAAGGGGAGGCAGGAGGCTGCATAGAGATGCCCCTTTGATTCCCATGAATCAGGGCAGCCATGAAACTGTGAGCTGAGCTTGGAGCCTGCAAGGGGAAGGAGGTATACAGCCCTTAACAGTGGACCACCACTATAAAGTCATTAGCTGACAGTTAGAAAAAATTGGAAATGGATTGTTGATGTGAAAAAGAAAGTTTCCAAAACAGAAACCAAAATGAAATATTAATCTATTCACCCTTTGGGTTTGTGTTTTCTTTCTTAAGCACTTTGCAGAAACAGATTGCTGTGTGGATAGCTGCAGTTCCTTTTAAATTACATTTCTTTGCTAAAGAAATCATTTGCCAAAAATTGGATGAGCATGCCTAGCCAGAGAGCTGGAAGGAGTTTGTGGGTGGGATAAAGCTGGCAGTCATCAGGGGAGAAGAGAGGAAAATGATCCACCCAAAATATCTTCTGTGTTTGTTCACCCTCTCTCTCCATTTCTTTTTTCCCTTTCCGACTTTCCCCTTTTGTTTGGGAGTGTCATGCCTCACTTGACACAATGCCTAGCACACCGGGAAGCTGGTTTGGGTTGGTCCCTGGGCACCAGTACAATAAATTAGGATGAATCATAACTTTTAATGCTGCTGCTTCAGCAGGTCCTTTGCACTGACACAGACAAGGTAACTCCATTTAAGATATGGCTCTCCCAAGGTGAGGATACACCCAGCACAGAGACAGGTCTCTGCAGGCTGTTACCAAGTTGGAAAAATCAGTCTTCAGTGTCACCTCCTGGATTATTATTTATCTGCAGTGCAGGATCAGGAAAGCTGCTGGTGGCTTTTTGGAACACTGCGTTGTGACCAGGGGAATAAAAGAGAGAAAGAAGGGAGAAACACCACGGATAGAAATGTGTGATGTGTGTGTAAGGGAATGACCCCAGCTTCCCAAAGATGTTTTTCCCATTCCTGTGCTTGTCTAGTCTCCTGCCCAGATGGACACGTGGCCCCAGCTTGAACAAAACAGCCTAGATCTAGCTTAGTGAATGGTTTGCACTGATATGCTCCATTGGAAGGACTGATCCATTTAGTTTAAAGGGAAAAATTGCCAATGTAACAAAACCTATCCTTTTCTTTCTGGTACTTTTCTTCTGCCTTCCTGCTAACAAGGAGAGTGCAAAGAGCTGAATTGCTGCTTTTTTTGGTGGAAAATACATTGAAGCTGAAACATTAAGGGGAAAAAAAGGCCAAACCAGAAACCTCTTGTATTTTCCACTTCCTTGTGAAGCTGACATGGGGAAGCCTGGGATAACGTGGTATTTTTTATATTAGAAAAAAGGTGGGATCTGTCTGGGGCTGAAAGGCTGTAAATAAAAACAGGCAAAGCATTGCTTGCTGTAGACTGTGTTAGCAAGGCATTGTCAGTAGTTAAAGGAAGATCGACACAGTTTAGATTCATGCTAATGATTCATGCCACAGCCCAGGGCATCTCATCTATTAGGCTCCAATCAGGAACAATGTTGGGCTACACAGAGCATCTAAATATCTCTCAAGCTGCTGTCTTTAGATCCCAATAGTAAATTAAAGACTTGTAGGATGAAAGGCTAAAAGTCACATGAAAGCTCCAGGCAGTGCCAGGGAAGAACTGATACAGTCTCTGCTGCGCATTGCTTGCTGCAGGTCCTTCTGCCCTATGTGATCTGGAGATGACAGGGGTCTGCCAGGGTCCATTCCCCCTATCCCTTCATTCCAGCTTGAAGTGCTGCAAAAAACCAGCTTTGGAACAGAGCTAAGACTGAAACATTTGGCAACATTGCATGCAACTATTCAGCATATCAGGCATATCTGGAAGCCCCTCCAGTTTTTTGTTCCTGGACTTCCTTGTTTACAACAACAGTGGCTTTGGGTTTAACAGACCTGTCTTGGTGGATGACCCTTAGGAACGTGAGCCCCCCTAGTTGGGAGTGCAGTGGCAGGAGCCTCTGCCATCCCATACCTCCACTTTCCCACCAGCTCTCCCATCCATTGCTGTGTCCAGTGTCCCCATTCAACATCACTTTGAGCCGTGCACCTCAGAAACCAATTCAAGTATAGCAGTGGTAATGCAGGGCTCAGCAAAACAGAGCACTGATGAGCTGAGTGTCTTTTGCCTCAGGCTAGAAATACTTAACATCACATGTAGGGACACCAAGAGAGATGAAACAAGTGCATATGTGTGTTTGTGTCTGCCTCTACCAGCTTATTTAAAACCTTGTTAAAGAAGACAAGCACTCATATTTAGGACTTCGCTTCCTAGCACCCATATTAAATGGAGGAAGACAGTGTTTGGGACTGGCAGTTTCTGCAGGGTGTGTTCAGTGCAATGCTATTATAGAATAGCAGGAAATGGAGATAAAAATACTTTGTTTTGAGGTGAATTTCACCCCTTGTTGTGGACCTATAAGCTAATGCGTCTCCTCTGGAGTTAGGTGGCACATGGACTGCTCTGCTTTGTAGGCTTGGTGGAAATTATCTGCATAGGGGATACTAAACCTCTGCAGCACTGAGGACCCACTGCTGGCAGCCCTGGTATGGGGTGTGGTGAGACAAGCTGGAGGATGTGTTGCTGTGCCTTCACTGCTGATGTATTCAGCCATGAAGGATGGTCTGTGCCGGAAATTACACCTCCCACTTGCTGGATAGGCTGTGGAGAAGCTGGAAAGAACGTGGAGAAGCTTAAAAGAGGCTAGTAGCCCTCCTGGTAATTAAGATCAAGCAATCTGCCCCAAATACCTTATTTCTAGTCACAGCTCTGCCTAGAAGAGGGCTGAGGGGCTAGGATGATGGAGGATGGGCTGGGGATAGGGAGAAGGATACTGCTGTGCTCTGACTGTTCCTTTGGGCCTTTTATTCCCGGTAACTGGTGCATTCCTTCCAGCTGCCGTTGTGTGGCTTTTGAGTGACAGGGTAAGTGCCCCACTGTAAGCAGGTCATTTGTGGTAGCTGAAGAAAAATGCTCTTGGCTGATGCCTCAGGTGCCAGTTTCAAATTTCAGCTCAATCCAAGCTTCATCCACAGTTTAGTGGCGTGGTGAGGAGTTGGGCTGGTCTCTGTAAAGACGTGATGCAATTTGCTTGCACCCACAAAGGGGGAATTGTGTTCTTTGAAAATGCTTGTGCTGCTTTATGAAAGATTCTCGGTTTTCCACAGCCCTGTCATTTGAGAAAGGGTTTGTTGCTTTTGCTGTTGTGGAAAGGGCAAGTTGAGGGTATTGCAGAGAAAAGTGGAACATGCTACGCAGACTAAGGGGTTGCATTGGCTAATTCTGAGATTGTATCCTGGAATAACTAGCACCTTTCAAAGCCAGGAGCACTGAACACATCCAGGTGGCAACAAATCTCCCACTGACCTCACTGGAGGTTGCAGGCTTGAGGAGTGCTCCTGACTTTGTAGAATCATAGAATCATAGAATGGTTTG